CCCCCCCCCACCCCACCTCCTCCCTTCTCACCTTCGGCCCCGAAGAAATACAGCGTGACGCAATTCACGAGGAGATGGGTGAAGGACTGATGACTGAACATGGCTGTGAAGAGGGTGTGGATCCTCCCGTGCTCCACCACGCCCACACCCGAGACGGTGAAATTTTCCACCATCCAACGCGTCAATTTTCGGGACTGGGAAGCATAGGTCCATGCCCCAAATACCAAGACGTTGGCGCCAATAAGGGCGTAGACGATGCCGTCTCCCTCGGGCAAGGAGAAGGAGGCTCGTCCCCTCCGGTGCGAGACATAGCTGCGACGTGCGGGTGTCCACCAGTTCCGCCATCGAATAAGCTCGCGGGACGCCCGTCTGGGGACGGAGAGGGAGGTAAAAGTATGGCAGCGGGGTGAAAGGAGTGGGGAGGTGAAAAGTGTAGAAGAAATTTGGCGTTTGCTCAACACCGGTCCACGATAGCAGGTACCAGCAGGTGGAAATTGTCGCAATGGAAGAGGAAGAGGATGTATGCGGGCATGACGGATTACTTTAACCGCGCTGGACGGAATCATGAGAAGCGTAGACTCGATCTCGCGTCTCCTTGGAAGTGCCTATGTCGGTGATGAAGGAGTAAATTGGCCACCATCAAGCACACTGTCGGCCATGTCCGTCCTCACCACACCCCAAGCTTCCACGACATCACTTGGAACAACCACGAGCCCCTCAGAGTCGTGTTCCGGGCAACTCAATGCGTTTCGGGGCGCCAGACAGGACATGAATTTCCCACAAGGATTAGTCCGGCGATGCCCTGCCTCCAGCAGGGGAAAACGGTGAACGTGTTCAAGTCGCAGCAAGTACCCTTGAAAAGCAATTACCGGGCGCTTCCGACAGCACCAGTGCATGGGGTGAGCACCACGAACCATTCCGGCTTGCACGGTGCAGTGGAGGCGGTAGTTTTGTACCGCGTTTGGCGTCGAGGGTTACATCCCCCCCACCCCCGGACAAGAACAACGGGCAGGGAGGGAGCAAGAAAGTTGCGACAACCACCATGCGTCTTTTTGTCGCTCACCCTGCAAGTGGGGGACGAATGGTTGCATTCAAAACGTCGGGCAGGGCATGGCATGGTCATGGTCAGGTGTAGACATGTATTGATGGTTTATGTGTCTTGGTCGTGCCGGAGCCCAGGGGGGAGCCCCGCGAGCGAAGGAGAGTTGTCTCAAGATTCTCCACGCTACGTCCTCCGTCCCCGGCGCTCCAAACGCAGGAAAGGGAAAAGCCCGTGCGTGGATCGTGAGGCAGGACATCGCTCCTGTAGCTCTCGGGGGTCGTGCGCTTGTGGGTGAAGGGTATTGGGTAATTGCTGGTTGGTCTTCCTGACAGCACCCCTCAAGAAGTCGTGAACGGTGTCGTCGGACTGGTCTTGTACATATTCAAATCCCCCCGCACACTACCCCAGTGCATCCCTACTATATCAGTTGATGATGCAACAGCACGATCAAGATGTCCTGGCGCGCACAGGTCGTGAAATGGGCATGTCCCTGCGGAGCGTTTTAACGTCCGAGACAAGTCCGACGAGAAAATGATAGCATCCTCGCTTTATCTTCCTGACTGCCTCTTCACTCCCCTCGTAAACACGCTTACCAGCGCATACCCTGCTCCCTACATATCAAGAACAGAAAACACTTTTGGAAAATGGCTGACGTCGCCACGCCTCAACTTGAGAAATGCCCCGCCTCGGCGCCCTTCTTCGGCTTCATGGGAGTGACTGCCGCCATTGTCTTTGCCAGTAAGTTCTTGACAAAGGGATGGAACGGGATAGACCGGTGACCAAGCCACGGCTGTATGCACGAAGAGTCTCGCTCGGGAAAAGTGGTGTGATAAGAGATATGGCAGACGAGTCCGTTAGGCGTGTAAGGGGGAGATAACATTTGAGTTCTTGTATTTCGTGATACCCGTCACACAGATCTGGGCTCTGCGTATGGCACGGCCAAGTCCGGAGTCGGCATCAGGTAAAATCCCTAGGCATCTCCTTCCTCCGTCGCCGTGGCTCCTCCCCCTTCCCCCCTCGTGTCTCTTGCCTCATCGCGACCAGGGAATATCACCATATCATGAACGAGGATGCCCCCCCCGTCGTCCCCTTTCAGCCCTTCCTTTTCTCCCCTCCGCATTCTGGACTCCAACCTGCCTTGCTGATTTTTCTTTCCTTTATCCA